TGGTGGGATGGGAGGTGAAACCTACCGGGAAGGCCCTGAGTGGTGACCTCACCTTGTGGCCCTTGTCCGAGTGCCCAAAGAGAACCGGGGACACGTCCAAGCCATCGAAGCGCCTGTTGGGAGGAAGCTCAGCTCCAGCCAGGGCCACCAGCGTGGGGAAAATGTCCATGGTGCTGGAGGGAAGAGATGGGTTTTGTTAGCGCAGTGCGTGAAGCACCCTGGAAAAGCCACCCAGCCCCACTTCTGAGCTGAGACCTGTTGCGCTGCCACCAGCCACCCCGTTGCTTCCCACAGTTCCTCTCCCTGCTGCAGCTCCTTGCCCGGACACAGCTTTGAGACGAGCCAGTCATCCCGACTGTCCCTGGAGCATCCTGTGCTCCCTGTGTGGTGTGAGCACCACATGTGCGCCCAGGGCACCACGTCCCGCTGCACCGGGCAGCGAGGGAGCAGCTCCGGGGTGGGCGGCAGAGGCACAAAGTGCTGTGCTGGCGCGGGGGCTTTTCAGGTCGACCGCGGCAGCCCTAGGAAAATGTGGTCTCACTTTTGCATCGCGCAGCATGAGCCGTCGCGGCCAGAATGGAAAATGAGAGCGGTGCTATTTTGTGCACTTGCACCCGGACGCATGTCAGCGTTTCCACCGTAATCCTCGTGTCTCCAGGGGTGGCCACCCCGCCGCACAACGTGGCTCGGGGGTCGCACGTGGCCGTGGGAGCTGCCACCCAGGCCCGTGAGCGGCTGCTCTCCGGGGCCGGAACCCTGGCGCAATGGTTCCCTGCGAGGTGGAGGGTGCCCACGCGGCAGGAATTTCGCTCACGCACGTCCTTGGCCGCCAGGCCGCTCTTTCCCCACCACTCTCTGCAAACTCGCTTGCGTGAGCAGAGAGAAGAAGCAGCCCAGGACTTAAGGGCCCCTGTTTCTGCCATTCAGTGAGGTTTAATCCAGCTGCTAAGAGACACGGAGAACAAATAGGAACAAACAAAGCGGAGCGGAGCCGGGAGGCAGCCCTGGCCTCAGCGGGATCTGGCTGTGCGTGGCGGGAG